TGTAACAGAAAACTCATTGTTCGCTTTTTTTCCAAAGAAGTAATCAAAGACAATATTTATCCCTGAGGAAAAAAAACACTTTTGATAGACCTTCATCGCCTTGTTCACAACCCACAGACCTTTGTTGATTCTTTTGTTCTCATATATAACTACATTAGTTTATATACAGCGAGAATAAGAGTTTAACTTAACAACTGTACTAGCATTGCATCTTTAAAGTTGGCCTGAATTACAACGAACAAAACTCTGTAAAACTTGCTTGATTTCAGAATGAGAATATATATAAAAAAAATTAATAATAATCAATTTTCTTTTTTCTAATCTTTCTGTATGGAGCCTGAAAAAATTAAACAAATACATGTATATAAGCTACAGATCGATATATGTTTTAAAAACCCCACTACAGGCTAATTTTAATGTGTTGTGCTACAGCAACAGGTTAATTAGTCGTTATATTTTATTAGTGAAACGAACATACAATGCACCTAAAGAATAAAACGTGCTCAATATATAAAACAGTTTTACCACTCAGCGCCATTAATTTGAATCAAATAAAAAAAAACATGCTTTAAAAATTATTTATTCTCCCATCATAATGCAAAACTTTACAAGCCATAAAAAGTATACAACTAAACAGGTCATTCCCCCGTTATATATGCATATCTATATATTTTTTTTTTTGTTAAAGAAACCCGCAGTGATCCCTGTCTGTTTCCTTCTCTCCTTCCTTGGGAGAGGTGGAGGCTGTTTGGTTGGAGATGTGGGTCGGAAGTACCGTAGTTTATGTATGCTAATGGGGAGAGTTGGGGGTTGTAGCTAGATATTTACGTTCAGTGGGAGCCGCCCTTCATTCACCCACATGGTTACCAACTGGTCGCCTTCGCGCCACTTTCCTAACCCTGCAATCATTTTTAACCAGCGCATCTAGGCTATAAATTGCCTCGCAATCGGCTGGGATTTCACTTTATGTTTCGGTTTTGTCCTCCGGTTGAAAAGTTTTCGGATTAGTTCCGTTTTTATTTCTCTCTTTTGTCGGTAAGAGACTACACGGCAGCCCAAGCAAGTGAGCGAAGATGGTGGATTTCGGCTGGTGAGTGTCTACCGAGCGCATGTTTATCGGCAAGGAAGTCGGGTTTTGGGTTATTTTTTATCCTCCTTTCTGGTGAATGAAATCTCCAACGGTGTGATTTACGCCCGTTTTACGTGTCTTAATATACTGTTGGCGGGGATATCCAAACATTAACACCTAAAACGATAATGCTTGCGATGAAAACAGTACAACGTGAGGCGCATGGCAGTCCCCTCTGCTCCACCATTGAGGGAATGAGGGAGATTTGAAAAGCTGTCCGGAGCTTTTCTCCGCTGCGCTTTAGCAACTAGTTGGGGGGGGGAAAATCTGGCCTCCTTGTAACAAAACCCGAGTTTGTATAAACACTCTCGTCCGATGTTTCCAAAAGTAAGTTTGTAAATGTGGTTAATTTGTTGCTCGGTCTCGAGTGCAGTGGTGTGTGAGTTAAAGTGCCCCCCAGAACAAAGCAGCAGCACATGGGGCAGTTGTAGGCCGCGCGTTTTAGCTTAGCCAGCATTAGCCTAGCCAGCATGAACTTTAAAAAAAAAAAAAAAAGAAGAGTTGTTTTGCGGGGTGAGCACAAGCATACGGTTTATTAATACGGATACACACAGCTAGATAAAGACGAGGAGTGGGTAAATGCAGCCAATCCAACGGGACAAATGCACCGTTGGGGTATTTTTTTTTTTTTTTTTCAAACGTGTGCTCGTTTGTTGTTTGGCTAACGGCTAACCAGTGTCGTCAAACTCGAACCGAATGTTCGTTAGCGTTTGGAACCAGATTTAAAAAAAAAAAACGAGCCAACTGTTTTTGAACTGAAAGCACCTCCAACGGCTCCGGTGCCATCCCCACTCACAGTCTAACTGCCCTAACTACGGGTTGCCATGTTTTCACCAGGCTAACAACCAGCAGCTACAAGCTACCTGCCCAACCAGCTCACGGCTGCTGTTTGCTGCTAGCCTCTGTTCCTACGGCAGCCGTGTTTTTTTTTTTTTTTTTTTTTTTTTTCTCCATAGGATGCCCGAAACGCATTTCCCCCCCCTTATTATATTTTTGTTAAGATGAACACCTTCAATTGCAAATTCAGTGTACAAACCACTACGGTTGGTATAAGGTTTTGATTGATTTTTTAAAGTTCATTTGGTAAAAGGTTTTGCGCTACTACGAGGGCGCCATTGTTTAAAGACGGGTGGGGGAGGGGTAGAACAACACCGTTCCCTGCGCATGCGCTCCATGGTAAAAATGAAATATAACGGATTTGTGTCCCTTTAATATCTCCCAAAAGATAGGCAGGGAACGCTGGCGCAGGATGTGCCTACTCATTATGTTTTTCAGTGAACCTCGTGGCTGCTGTAATAAATCATAACATTTGGGTGTCAAACAAACGACTCGGTGTAAATATCGACTCCTCAGCTGTAATGGGCCCACTTTCTTGATGGCGGGGTTGGGGGGAAGCGATTCTGCGATTTTAATTACGAAGAAATCGCCACATGCTCACACATCAAAGCTGCGTATTTAACTTTTGCAATAAAGGCGTTTAAAAAAAGTCTTATTATTATTATTATTAATCTTCACATGTGTTTTTTTTTTTGTTCGTTTCAGATCCACTCTGAGGTGCAGGAACCTCCAGAACAAAATATGAACACGGAAGACAGTGTGAGTCTCCTTTCAGCGGAGGCCAGCGAGGCTTTAATCAGTCTGTGTATTGTCAAAGTGCTTACAGTGCAGGTAGTTCTATGTCATACCTACTGCAGTGGAGGCACTTACAGCAATACCCTGACACTGATGTGCAGATCCTTCTTGGTGTTTAACATGTCATTTGAAGTACTGTCTTTGTGCTAAGGTGCATCTAGTGCAGATAGTGAAATAGACTAGCACCTACTGCCCTAAGTGCTCCTTCTGGCATAAGGGGCTGTGATATGCGCCACCAGACCATATTTAATTTCTAATTGGGCTCAAATATCTCGCAGTTCTCTGCTAGTTTTGCATAGTTGCACTACAAGAATAGATGAGTTGTGCAAATCTATGCAAAACTGATGGTGGCCTGCTTGCTCTCCACCTGTTAAGATTTTTTGGGGTTTGGGGGTGTCGCATCAAACACAATGTGATTGCAGAGTACCCCTGTAACTCTGTTTACAAATGCGCTCTCGTCCAGTGACACAGTTTCAGCAGTACTAAAGTGCTTATAGTGCAGGTAGTTTTCTCCTATCTACTGCAATGTGAGCACTTGAAGTACTTCTAACTAACTGCATCTTTCTGAAGCTCTGACGTTTGTAATTGTCGAAGGCTCGTCTGTTAATCATCACGCGGTCAGTTTTGCTGGTTTGCATTCAGCTTTAACTGTCGTTTGCTGTGCAAATCCATGCAAAACTGACTAGGTCGATGAACGAAACACGCCCACTGAGATTGCTTTTCATCAAGATTGTTTTTTTGTCCTTTACTGCATGGTGGGTATTTACGTGGATGTGTGTGTGTGATGGTGTGGATATTTGGAGTTGTCCCTCCCTGTGCAGGTGGGGATTAGTAGCAATGCTGTGTAACTAGAGGTATTGCACTTGTCCCGGCCTGTGTAGGGACGAGGAGATGGAACCGACCTGGATCTTGACCTACGTGTTGATTTTAAAAAAGAGAAGAAAAAAAAACAACTACTTGTCCTGTTTTAGCCAGGTTCATCTGTATAAAATGCATGCAGTTACTGATGGGATGAGTCTAAAGTGGTTAATTGTAATGTTGCTTGAAATATTAAATTTTTTAACACGTTCTTTCTCTTTGCTTTATTATAAAAATGTCACAATTAATGGAGTGTTAAACATACGTGTGTACGTACATGTTTTTGGTTAGTGCTAGGCGACTTCTTTTTCCAAGTTGATTTATACGTCCGTTTTATTTCATGAAATCATGTTATTTTACTTTGTAATGCCACTGTTTTATAATAAACTGGTTGAAATGAGTGCAAAAAACTGATTTGGTCAACAAAAAACACTTCCTACATTTTTCTAATCTTTTTGCAGCAGTGTTAAAGTTTACAATGATTCCCAGATAAATGATTAAAGCCCAGTCCTGAGTGAGCAGGTTTATCACCTTCCACGTCCAAAAGCAGCACTGGTTTAACAGGAGAAAATATTTGAGTAGTAAAGGAATTAATTTTACTTTAACTTTAACTTGTGTGTTAAACGTGGGATGTGCTCATACATTTCGAAATTGTTTAAACACCTTTGACATCACCTAAAATAGTTTGTTTCGTGATGTAGTTTTTGTCTGGTTAAATCACTGTAGCACACAAATTATAATCACATGTATACAATCTAACCAACTCTAAAATTAATTCAATCTGGGTGCAATCCCTTCTTTAAATTGGTTGGAATTTACTGAAAGTATTTTGTAACTTTATAACTTCATGAAATATGATACATGGACATTGCCATTAAAGCTCATAAAATGTTTGTGTTTCAGGCCTAAGCTAAGAGACTAGCAGTTATCATTCATATATCATTAAGCAAAGCATGTAAAAAAAAAAATAGTATTTCCAATTGAGAAGTTCTTATAGTTGTAATTATCATTTAGTTTAGCAGAATTTTCAATAAAGGATATTTACAAAAAATCCTAAATGACTCCTGCCTTCAACTATCTGAATAAATCCATTAAAAATACAGGATGCTGATCATTTTGAGGTGATTCAAACAAAACAAAAACATCACTTATGACTTCTAATTTTTAGTTTCATAATTCCTGTTTCGAGGTGACTTTGCAATCCACTCTCTGTAGCCGACACAGTATTTAACTTGTCATTATAAATAAATCAATGTCTTAAACTAAAGTCGACGCTCTTCCACTAGGTGGCGCTGTCGGGCTGCAGGTCGGCCGCACATCCAGCCGCGGAGTGCAGGTAACATTTCGGTACCGCCTCTGCTGTCGGTCCAACCAACTTGGGACAACATGCCGCTTTCAAACAGAGTCACACCGCAGCAACTTTCCCTCTGTGTCTGGATTTAAATGGTTATCCGGAGCGTCTCCTCGACACAAACACCGAACCCCACATATCGACGCTGAACCCTGACTCCTGAAATGTGGACCGAACTCACCTGAGAGGACTGTAGGTTCAAAGAAGACACCTTAACTTCCCCGAACGGGCTTGTTTTTTGTTTTTTTTTGGAAAGTATAAACCCGCGATTTTTTTATTTTATTGAAATGGATGTGCTGTGGACCAACTACATTTTCTTCCTGGCGTGTTGCTCAGCATTGGGATTTGGAAGCCCGAACAGATGCGACGAAGTGCGCAAAGTTTTCCAACTCAGACAAATTGGACCAAATCAATTATTGCCTTTAAGTCCCAGACCAGGTATGTTCCAGTTCCAGTGTGTGTTTTTCCTGCAGTTAAATTCCCACAAAGCAGTCAGCAGTACACATTATGTTACATTTCTTCTACAGCATTTGTCCTTTTCTTCATTTACATCCTTCATGCCAACCGCTTATTGAAAGAAATATAAGCTTGAAAAGTTATTCACCACAATGTTCCTGTAGAGCTCATTAACTGCACTGTAGCTTTTAACCTGTCATTTTCTGCCTTCTTGAAGTGCTCTTTGTAGTTACAAAACACACCTTTTTAAACACATTTTAGAGGCGTGTGTGCAGTTATGATAATAATATAGACAGCAGAACTGGAGAGCTTTGAGCTGTTTAAATGGCATCTTTTTGTCTGACTTTTAAATCAAGATATTTAGAGGAGATATTGCATGAGCCTTAAATCACTGCATGAATACATCTCACAGTTGAGCCCATTCCTTTTTAAAGTGATATCTTTAAGACATCTTACTCTAGTTTATGTTCAGCGTATGGCAGGTTCATGATGAATATGACTATATTATGTAATATTTCAGATACTGTGGATGATTTTCACTGCTCTTGAAAATCTGCTTTCATTGCACTTAATGTTGAGCAACAGGATAGGTGCAGAGATAGATTTTTTCCTTGTGTTTGTACAACAAAACCGCCTATAAAAGGTATCACTTTTTGCTTACTTACACTTTATTACCAGCAGTGCACCGGCTCGTATATAATGTTTAATTTAAGGTTTAATCCCATGAAACTAGGAACTAAAGCTGCTCAGATTACTTGTTGGTCATGACAGGAAAAAACAAACAAACTCTGCTCCTTTCAGCTGCCTAAAGCAGTTAAGTGGCTTGCAGGGATAAACAGGAATTATTTTGTGTAAAGTTAGGTAAACTAGGCTTCACTTAACTTCATGAACACCACCCATAATGTAATTCCACATGATACTTGTCCACAAGATTTGGGGGAATTATGGGTGTGGATATTGCATGTGGGCTGTCATTGAGTGGACTGCTGCTGCTGCTGTTCTCTGCGCTCCTCTTGGAAAAGTAAATCTAAATGGTGTTGACTGCCATCCTGCCACAAACTGCTCCCTATAAACTTCACCACCCCTTTCCTCTGCTGCTGCTGTGAGGAAGCGGATTCAATTGACAGAAAACCCTCAAATACCCCTTGAACCTCTAAATAACCCTCGTAATGCCATCACCGCTCCTGCCCCTGGAATAAGCCTGTGCGTGTGGCTTCGTGGATTTAAATCTCTGTGCTGTTTCTTTGCAGAAATTGCAAACTGAAAAGTACTTCTCTGAGATAAAACTGTGCTGTGGGCGTCACTTGTAGTTTAAGCGATGATAAGCTCCTGTGGAAACACTTGCTACTGTTTTTAACTGCACCTCTACTGACCTTTTCTGGCAGCTCAAGTCCAAATACATCTTTACATTGGAAAGATGTAAATCGTTTTCTTCGATGGATTGAGATTAATGTAGTGAAAGGCATCAGATAGGGTCATAGCGAGAGGTGTACTCGATCCTAGAGCCTGATTGTAGAAGTTATCTATAATTGAGTGTGGGCCTGTGAAAAATAACCTCCAGAAATTCCAGGAATCCGAGAGAGAGCGAGCTTTTTCCATGTAATAGGAAGTGCCAAACAGCCTCGAGTTTAGGTTAGAACACAGTAAGTCAGAAGTCTGTCACTTCGGCCAAACAAAGCTGATGTTTGTGGTGTTGGAAGTGGAAATATTTCTGGGAAGCATAAAAAATAAAAAAAAGACCTGGGGCACTTTCAAGTTGTCTTATCTGGGGAGAGTTTGAATTCCTCCACGTGTGCCATCGCCTGCTCTGCTCCCTCCTCGCACAGGGAGCTGATAGCGTCTCTGGCAACAGCTCCGCAAGCTCTGCCTAGGCATGTCAGAGAGGCTTTTGCAAAGTTTTAGGTCGCTTTTAAGATGTTTTGATTGTCCCGTATGTGTGCAGATTGCTTACATTTTGTTCGTAGTGGAAAACCTGAGACACATCACTTGGAGAGGCGATAACACTCTGATTCAGATCTACTCTCAGGATGTAGGGGTCTTCTTGCTCCACTAAAGCATTTTTTTTACTTGCTGCACTGATGGAAATACATGACCTTTATATGTTTCTTTCACCTCATGCAAAGAGTAGTCCCAGTATTCAGATTTGTCGTCATGTGTTTTTTTTTAATGTACCTAGTTCTTGCTGTGAGTTTTCTTTATTGGCAATCTTTCGTTTGTTGGTCGGACAGTCAGTCCACCACTTTGGCTCAGACTGAAATAGAGAGGGATGACAGTTTTTAAAGGAAAAAAACAACACAAACCTCCCTGTTTCTGGAAGCCTCTCCCTTCTCACAGGTTTTCAAGTGATTCGAATCATTTTTACTCTTATCAAACCATGTAATGGCCCCTCGTGTCCTGTGTGAAAGCATCTGCATTTGTCATGTTTCTCCACTCATTCGTTCAAGTTTTTCCTATTTAATTAGAGATCGATAAGATAAGATGATCCTTTATTGATCAACCTGTAGGAGAAATTCAAATCAGACACAGCAGCATAGGGGAATG